GTGTTATACATTATTGTTCGTCGTTGATTATTTTATTTACCGTCGTTGTTTTAAATATTTATTAACCGTTTTGAAATGAATTTTAATTAACCGACGTGTTTTCCTTTTCAAATGTCGGTTTTTATTTCATTTTTGCGTTGTCATTCCACGTCGATTGTGAAAACCCGACGTTGGTTGTTTTGTAGACGTCTCTTTTTGCGATTTTTGTAACTTGACCGTCGTATTTTCAGCTTTAACCGATTATTTTTAATTTTTGATTTGTCGTGCCCAAAGCCTGCAGAATGAAAATGTTATCGGAATTAAAATGATATACAGAGCAATGAATTAATGTCATACAATTAACTGCATAACTAATGTCATACATTACAACAATCAATCAATCCATATATCTTCACACCCATCTCTAATATTCTCACTCCCAAACTCACCCACTAGGTCATCAAATGTGTCAACATTTGGTATCCCTCCAGAAAATGGCTCACACTCAATTCTAATATCATCTAGCACATCATCACCAATAACATCATTATATTCTCTATTAGGCATTGATAACACTACCGACCAACCACGATGCATTGGGTCGTCAACATAAAATACTTGTTTGACTTGAGAAGCCATAACAAATTGGTCATTCCTATGTCCAATTTTACTAAGATCTACAAGGGTAAATCCAAGTTCGTCGACTACAAGGCCCGAAGTGTTATCTATCCAATCACACCTCAAGACTGGGATTCTAAAATTTTGGTAGTCAAGATCCCAAATTTCTTGAATAACCCCATAAAAACCCATATTGGAGACAATAGGGTTTTTATCCTTGGCACTAGCAACTTGCATAGTATGTGCAAGTAAATAAACTCCACTATTTTGGACAGTTCGCACATCATCTTGTGCCTTGGTGTTAAATTTGACACCATTAATAAGATAGCTCCTATATGATGGCACTGCCATGCTTGGACCAGCTGCTAACCACCTCAAATTTTCTGATATGCCATTATTGTCTTCCCCATTAAATTCACTTTGAACCCAGTGGCGAAGCCAGGATTTCATGTGTCTGGGGGCCTTTCACAAAACATCAAAAATCATATTGTCTATATTGTCTATTCATTACAATCATAATTGTCCTCGACGAGTTTTCATATTTTGAAATCGTTGCATAACAACCTCGTCATCTATACTATTAAAAATGTCTTTCTCAATATATGCAACCAAGCAATCATTCATCCACAAATCCCCTATTCGATTGCGTAACCGATTCTTCACAATATTCATAGCAGAAAATACTCGCTCTACACTTGCGGTCGCAACAGGTAGGATTAGTGCTAGTGTCAGAAGCAAGTACACTAAAGGATAGATCTTATCTTTATTTGTCTCAACCATCTTTTGAGCAAGATCAGTAATCCCTTTCAATTCTGTAAATTGATTGTTAGAGCTCACGTCCCAAATGTAATTCTCAAGTTGATCTTCAAGTAATTTGAGGTCATGCTCAGAAAAATCTCTTTGATAAAATTGGGCAAGTCGCATCAACTTTGCTTTATCAAAAGCAGAGAATGAATTACTTGGACTCAAGCATGCCATACAAAGAAGTAATTCAGTATTCTTCTCATTGAACCGATCATTTAACTCTCGGAGCTGAATATCAATGACATCAACGAATAAATCAACACGATAATGATGTAAGTTTGTGATAGGCTGAGCTTTACGCTTTGGTCTCCCTCCACTGGAAAAAATATCATCCATTTTAGGAATTTCAATATGATACTTGCCACAAAAGAAAGAAACTTGATCAAGTAAAGAATCCCAACCATTATCTCTCATGCTTTGCAATCTTCCTTTACATATTTTGACCAAGTCCATGGCATTCACAATATCTTGATCTTTCTTTTGTAATGCCTGAGACAAGTCGTTTGTGATTCCCAAAATTCTTTTCATCAAGTGTAGACCAAAAATGAAGTTGAATGATTGCATAAAAGTCAATAGAACCTTTGCTTCAAATTTTTGTTCGTAACCTGATCCATCTGTTCTTACAATCTTAAGCACATCTATCACAGACGGGAACATGTTTTCCAAACTGATTAAACAATTATAATGAGAGCTCCATCGTGTATCACTAGACCGCTTAAGATTAGTTTCTTGATTCAGGCCTTGCCCACTTAAGAGCTCATTATTATTGAGTGCTTCAAAAATTGCATCAGCATGCTTTTCTCTCAGCATATCACGACGCTTAGCGGATGCACCCACAACATTCACCACATTAGAAACCATAGTAAATAAATCTGCAATTTCTGAATGTTTCTTTGCCACAGCTACCAGAGCTAGTTGAAGTTGATGAGCAAAACAATGAACATAAAAAAGCAAAGTCATTCTCATTTAGAATGAGTGTTTTAAGACCACTAAACTCACCTCTCATATTACTTGCGCCATCATAACCTTGCCCTCGCAATCTAGAGATACTTAATCCATGTCTCGAAAAGAATGAATCACCAATATCTTTGATGATTGCATTGATAATTAAGTCCAAGCAGGGCAGCGGCTATAAGCTGCTGTCCAGCGACCCCAACGTACCCAAGATACAGAGAATAGAAGGATAAAGCTGTAGAATTGAAGTGGAACGAAGAAGTTTGAGTTCTAGGGCTAAATTCCCAAAGAAAACTCTTTAGACTGAAGTCTGAAATTATATTGATTGAAAACTGAATACAAAAAGTCTCTTAATAGCCTATTTATACTAGAATACACCAGCCTATAATTCCTAGTCCCAGTTTACTAAGAAATCCTAATTGATAAAGGAAAATAGAAACAAAACAAGAAACTTAAACCAAATCCTAATGAAGAGAGGAAAACATTTAATTTAATAATTTAAAATATCTAAAACTTAGCCCTTTTTGACTAGGATTGATGCTCTTGCATCAACTCCACCGGGTTGGAAAGAACTCGACTCCGGCGAGAAAGCTTTAACGACTTCAGCATAGATCTCTGGATCAATCCTTTCTAATTCTTCTTCAGGAACCCATGTGCTCTCAGTAGCATTCTTACCCAACCATTTCACTAAGAATCTCCTATACTGGTTACCCCTCCTTGACTTTACCTCTTTGACATCCAACACATCTTCAACAATTTCAGGTTGAGCCTTTGGAAGTTGTTGGATTTGTGCGTCACAAGTCAGACACATTGAAAATGGGGCTAATTTGGAGATCAGATGGCAGCTCTAACATGTAAGCATTTGAACTAATTTTCTTCAACACCTTGCATGGCCCAAACTTTTTAGACTTCAATTTATGGTATGTGCCTTTCGGAAATCGGTCTCGCCTCAAATGCACTAAAACCATATCACCTTCTTCAAAATCTTTGAGTCTTCGGTGTTGATTTGCAGCGGTTGCATATGACTCATTAGTAGCCTTTATAGCTGCCTTTACTTCTTCATGTACTCTTTTTATGTGATTTGCAAAACCTTCTCCTTCATCACTCACCCTAATTTCTTGTGGAAGTGGAACTAGATCAAGAACATGTTGAGGTTTAAGTCCATAAGCAGCTTCAAATGGCGTCTTCTTTGTTGATCGATTCACAGAATTGTTGTATGCAAATTCAGCTTGTGGAATGATCAAATCCCATGTCTTGACATTGCTTCCAACAAGGCATCTTAGCATATTACTCAGACTTCTATTTACTACTTCAGTTTGACCATCTGTCTGTGGATGACAAGTGCTAGAATACTTTAGATCAGTTCCAAACTTCCTCCAAAGAGTCCTCCAAAAATGCCCAGTAAACTTAACATCCCTATCCGAAACAATAGATGTTGGCACACCATGTAGTCTCACCACTTCTTTGAAGAATAAATCAGCTATATGTGTGGCATCTGTTGTTTTAGCACATGGAATGAAATGTGCCATCTTGGAGAAGCGATCTACCACAACAAAAAGACTATCATATCCTCTTGCTGTTTTCGGAAGTCCTAACACAAAATCCATACTAACATGAACCCAAGGAGCTTCTGCAACTGGTAAGGGTGTGTATAAACCTGTATTTTGTGAACTTCCTTTGCCAAACTGACAAATTTGACATTTTCGGACCAGTCTATCAACATCCTTGTACAACCCAGGCCAATAATAACGATCAGTCACCATAGCCAATGTTTTATCTCTTCCAAAATGTCCTCCTAATCCATTACCATGAAGCTCCCTAATAATTTGCTCACGTAACGACCCCTTGGGAATACATAACAAATTGCCTTTAAATAAATATCCATCAAGCATTCGAAATGGTAGCATCTTCCAACCTGTAGGACCTTGGAGTTCAGAAACTATAGAGCTGAAATATGGATCTGTAGCATATTGTTCTTTTAACTCCTCAAACCCAATAACTTGAGTACTCATCGTAGTTACCAATAGGTTCCTTCGACTCAAAGCATCCTCAACTTTGTTAGATTCACCAGTCTTGTAGTTGAGAGAGAAGTTGAATTCTTGAAGATATGAACTCCATTTGACATGTCGAGCATTCAACTTCTTTTGAGAGTTCAAATACCTTAAAGCTTGATGATCAGAGTAAACCATGAATTCTTTATATGCGAGGTAGTGCTCCCGATGTTGAATGGCACGAACCAAAGCATAAAATTCCAAGTCATATGTAGAATAGCGACATTTAGCACCTGACAACTTCTCACTAAAGAACTCCACGGGTCTTCCTTCTTGACTTAAGACAGCCCCAATTCCAACATGGGATGCATCAAATTGGTATTAGAGCCTAGGTTAATCCTTGTTCCACAGCATGGTTGGACGAGCTAGAGGTCGTGGACGAGGGAACCAAGCCCAAAACACAGAGATGGCTGAGATGCGGCGTATGATGGAAGACTTGTCGAGAGCGGTGCAAGCCCTCCAACGACAGGAACGCGTGGATGCCTATATGGAGATTCCGGAACGCAACCGCGGACCCTTGCACATACCGGAAGGTGGTGGTGAGGAGGATGAATATGAAGACGAGACGGACGTCGACAACCCTTTTCATGAAGCTGGAAACCATGGTGATGGTCATCGAGGTGGATTGGAAGAGCGGTTGGTTCGTGCATTGGATTTAAATGGTGGAGGAATTAAGATTGAAGTTGCTGATTTCTATGGAAAGATGCATGCCGAAGATTATTTGGATTGGGAAGCAAGCCTAGAGAATTATTTTGAATGGAAGACTATGACAGATGATCGCAAAGTGTTGTTTGTAAAGCTTAAATTGAAAAGTATCGCGCTTCAATGGTGGAAGAAAGTTGAAGAGCAGCGTGTTCGACAAGGAAAGCAGAAGGTCAACACATGGGATCATATGAAAGCCAAGTTACGCAAGCAGTTTCTACCAGCTGATTACACTATGGAATTATATGAACGGTTTCATAACTTAAAACAACGCGACATGTCTGTTGAAGAATATACGTCTGAGTTTGATAATCTTTCACTTCGAGTTGGTTTGAATGAGACTAATGAACAGATGACATCTTGTTACCTTTCTGGTTTGAATCAGACCATTAGAGATGAGCTGGGTGTGGTTCGCTTGTTCAACCTTGAAGATGCTCGACAATATGCCTTAATGGCCGAGCGTCGACAATTGCGACGTGGAGGAAGGAGAGTTTCTGGACGCCCAGATAATTATTGGCAGAGAAATACAACAGTTGTTCAAGGGGTTCGAAGCGAACAAGGAGCTCGAACTGGTGGTAGGAACATGGTGGGCGTTGATAGGAGTGAAAAGGGGAAGGAAATTGAGAAATTTGGGTCTCAAAACACTGTTGTTCCAAACAATCCTAGGGGTGGCAGCACATCACAAGTGCGTTGTTACACATGTGGTGAGAAGGGGCACACGTCTTATGGTTGTCCACAAAAAAGGGTGAATTTGGCATCGTATGAAGATGAGGTAACTGATTTTCCTGAACCAACGTATGACGATTTTGGTAATGAAGAGGAAGTTATTGATCTATTACCAGTTGAAGGAGAATCTTTGGTGGTCAGACGAGTGATGACAACTCCCAAAGTTGAGGAAGAAGATTGGCGTCGTCATAATATATTCAGAACACGAGTCCTCTGTGGGGGAAAGGTGTGCAACGTGATCCTTGATGGAGGAAGTAGTGAGAACATCATCTCAAATGAGGCAGTGGAAAAACTTAAGTTACCAATCGAGAAGCATCCTAATCCCTACAAGGTTGCATGGTTTCGAAAGGGGAACGAAGTACCAGTTACTTCAAGGTGTTTGGTTAAATTCACTATTGGTAATACTATTGATGATGAAGTGTGGTGTGACTTCGTTCCCATGGATGCCTGTCATATCTTATTAGGAAGACCTTGGTTGTTTGACAAAGACATGATTCACCATACTAAGGCCAACACCTATTTATTTCATCAAGGTGGGAAGAAATTGAGCTTGCAACCACTCAAAGAAGTGAACACTCCTAAGGTAACCAAAGTTAGTGGGTTTTTAACAGGCCATAATTTTGAACAAGAAAGCAAAGAAATGGGAATTATGTATGCACTTGTTGCTAAAGAGATAGGGGCCGATCAGTTGCTGAAATTTGATGAGTTTCCGAAAGAAGTTCAGCACATATTGATGGAATTCCAAGAGTTAGTTGGTGATGAATTACCACAAGGTCTACCGCCAATGAGGAGTATTCAACATGCAATTGATTTGGTTCCTGGTGCAGCATTACCTAATCTTCCTGCATATCGAATGCCACCCACCCAACGAGCTGAAATTCAGAGGCAAGTAGAAGATTTAATTGCTAAAGGGTTAGTGCGTGAGAGTAAAAGTCCCTGCGCGGTTCCAGCACTGTTAACACCAAAGAAAGATAAAACATGGAGGATGTGTGTGGACAGTCGTGCCATTAACAAGATTACAGTGAAATACCGGTTCCCTATCCCTCGACTGGAAGATATGCTTGACATGTTGGCAGGGTCGAAGGTGTTCTCCAAAATTGATTTGAGAAGTGGGTATCATCAAATTCGCATGAGGAGTGGTGATGAATGGAAAACAGCTTTCAAAACTCCTAATGGCCTTTACGAGTGGTTAGTGATGCCATTTGGACTCTCCAATGCTCCTAGCACATTTATGCGAGTCATGACCGAGGTATTAAAACCTTTCTTGGGCTTATTTGTGGTGGTTTATTTTGATGACATATTGATATACAGTCAAACTTCTGAAGAGCACTTAATCCATTTGCGACAAGTTCTGGAGGCCCTTCGTAAGGAACAACTTTATATAAATCTTAAAAAGTGTTCCTTCTTGAGAGACAATGTTGTGTTTCTGGGTTTGTTGTTTCAACCAATGGCTTGCAAGCAGACCCTCAGAAAATAAGAGCTATTATGGAGTGGCCAGTGCCACAATATGTGGCTGATGTCTGAAGT